CCCCAAAACCCCAAAACCCCAAAACCCCATTACTAGGAACCTTAGTTGAATGAACTAAATTACCTAACGAGAATATCAGACCTAAATGGGGCAAATAGAATTTTACAGAAACTAGGTTAATGAACAGAAGAGAATTAGGGTTTGGAAAATTATTGGTGGCTTGGGATGAGATGGATAGGCGGGATTTTAGGAATTTGAATGAAGATGTAGAGGGGTGATGAGGGGCTGGTTGGGATAACTTGAATAGATTCACTACAAATCTTCGTAGTTTTTGTGAGGGTGGTGGAGTAAAGGGTCTGAGGAGTTTTGTGTGGTGATTTTTTGGTTTGATGAGGTGAAAATTGCATTTGCTTAGCAGGATTTAGTAAGTCAGCTTCCAAGTTTACGGGATTTTCTTCAACTTAATTAGTTAATATTGTACAGAGACTGCTATTAAATAAACTTATGCCTAAATACATCATTCTTGATCTCCAAAACAGTGATAACTCCTTTCTATTTCCTACACAAAATATCTTCAGGCTTCCCCAAATCCTCGATCTCCACACAAATTCCCCATCCCCCTCTACTTCCCACCCCTCTTCCCTCTCCAAACCCCAAAACCCTACACCTCCAGCCCCCTTACCAAGCCCCCATGCCTCTTCCCCATGACCACCCCAAAATCCTACCTCAAGCCATAAACCGTCTAGTGTAAAAACCCCCAAAATCCTTCTGTTACTTCTACATAAATTTTGTGCTGGAGCTTCCCTTCTGCGCTTGACCGGCCAAGTACTGGAGGGAGATGGTAAAGGGGGTCTTAGAGGGCGTTGAAGGGAGTTTAGGGGCTGGGAGGTGAGCGTCTGGGGAGAGAGGGGAGTTTTGGAGGGGTTTGGGGTGGAAGGGTTGGTTTGACGTCATTTTTGGGGGTAGAGGAAGGATAGGGGTTTGAGAGGGGTGGGATGGAGGGGGAAAGTGTGTATTTTTGATTCATGAAGGGTAGTGGGAGAAGTTAAAAGCCACCTTGGCTTACCCCAAAACACTCCTTACCTCATTAACCTCCCCAAAACTTTTACTAAGCTAAACCCAATTTTTGGTCAACTACAAAATTTTGAAGAATCTTTATCATGAAATTAGGATACCTCCAAGCCACCGGAGTAGCTGAGGTAGACCGACATCAATATCGGAGTGAACACTGAAATCGTATATATGAAGAAGTTTACGAGCTTCGTGAGCATCCCTCTGCTGTTGTAGTGCTGGAACATTACTCTGATGCTCTTCCATACAGCCATCTTAGATACCTTATCAGGATTGGAGCTCCAGCCAGGAATGTGTTTCCATAACTTACTCAGGAATTTTATAGATATTATTGTTCCAAATGCTAGTGTTGGACAGTTCAGAACAACCAAGAAAGGATTGTTATTGAAGCTCAGTATATGAGTATAAAGCAGCCAAAAGTTCCCCCATCTTGTAATTACAAAGGTGATCGAGAGGAACACAAAGTTGAGCTTGCATCTATCATCATTCATATCCAAATTCATCCTTTCAAATGTTCTTTTCAACACAAAGAAAAGCATACCAACATCATTAGTAAATAAAGCTATAGCTCCAAGTGCATTTGTCTCGTTTCTAAAGTATCCACCAAGCATTGAGAACACGGTAAAGAGATGATGTGCCCATACAAAGCTGTTACCAATTCCTGCAAGAGACTTAATAATAAGATCAAAGGTATACCATCCGATTCCAAGAACCATTATGTGCCTATCAATCTCAGTCCCTTCCCTAACAATCTCAAATCCGTGGTCCTTCCACACAGCTAAAAACAGCCCAATGAGGACTATTCCGTACAACATTGAGACTGTGTCGTGGTACTGGTAGATAGTAGCCTTTTCGTCCATTTCTATGTATTTGTCGCCCTCCTTTCTCATGAGTTTGGGGGTGAGTCTTTTACTTGCCGCAACACAGCATGCAAAAAATGCATGCCATCATAGAATTTCTGTAATCATTGCAGGTTATTATTTATTATTTTAAAAGCTTTGTTGCCTCTTTTCAACTTCCTAATACTATCTCGGGGTTTTGGGGTTTTGGGGTTTTGGGGTTTTGGGG